CTCTTTGTTATAAAAATCGCTGATAGGGGTCATAAAGTCGTATTTTTTTATTCAAATTTGTTTGTAAGATCAAAATATGTATCATTTAATAAAATTTTTCTGTACACACATTAATATAAATTTTTCAAATTGCTAAAACTTGTTAAAAAAATTAAAAATTTTGTTTTAAAACACTTAAAACCAAGTTTAGATTGAAAGAAATAAAGTTAAATCATTTTGTTTTACATTAAAACATTTCATCATTATATAAAGATTCGGAAAAAATTTAAGGTGGGTATTAAAAAGTTAGCGAGATATCTAACAAAGATCCTACATTGTTTGCATCTTATAGACAAAGATGACAATCGTATTTCACATTGTACATGAACGCCCATCACAGCGTTACACCGAACGAAAAAACCGATTGCTTCCGATACAATTACACGCTTTCAAGTGAAATCTCTAATTTATTTGAGAAGTAGCTAGGTGTGACAATCAAAATTCAATATGCCGACTGTTTATGCAACTTCAGAAAGAGTGCAAATAATAAATAGTACTTTGGGGGCGATTTTGTACAAGAAACTATTAATTTATTTATTAAAGCCTTTAAACAGGCCAATTGTTCAATCCCAATTTAATCCCTTAATTTGTAATCTCATATTATTCTTAACTTCTTAATCTTTTATAATTCCACCGTGTATAGGTGAGTCATTGTAGAACCATATCGTATAATATTTTAATAATTAGTTCATTTACCTACAACTAAATAAATTGCCGAATAATATATTTTCTAATTGAACTTCCTAAGTGTCGCAATTACGGCCTAGATTAAATTGTAATGTAAGCTAATAGTTCAAAGTTTGTTGGTATGGTATGATAGAAGCAATAACCTCTGTGCTGAGGTATGAATTATTTGTGAGATTATAAATTGGAGATTTGAGCTCATGTGAGCACAGTCTCTCATAAGTAGTTACCTAACGAACATCATATAGTGTAATTTGTAGTAGCTGTCAATAAAATCAACATTTTTCTGCATAACCACATTTATCATCGTCGATCGACAAGAAGCGGACAAAGGGACATTATAAAACGATTCGAACCGCATAACTACGTTCGACTCTTTCCACCAATACCGACCGAAAAACTATATTGGCGATTATTCATCAATTTGAAAAGTTTGGCTGTACTAATGGCAGATGTAAAAACTGTTGTCCATCAGATCAACCTCGGGAAAAGAGAATTAGTCTAAAACGGGAAATTAGACAAACCCTGCGCATTGGCAGAATCTACATCATGTTCAAGTAAACAAATTGCCGATGAAGTTGACTTAAATGAAAAAAACGGTGAGGAATATGTTGAAAAGAAACAATCACCATTGTTATAAAGTGCATACCATTCAAGAAATATTTTTCTGATGATCATTTTAACTAGATGGAATTCTGTGAAAATATGTTGGAGAAATGCAATGAAAATAATAATTTTTTGAAGAATATTTGTATTTGAACACCGTTGTAAGTTATTGGTCTCAGTAAAATAAACATTTGTATATGTCTGCGCGTACGCAACCACAGTAAAATATATTTAATCACTGCGAAATAAAATTATTCATGCAAAAAAAATATTAAAATCAACCTACACGTAATTTGGTTTCAACAAGGCAGCTGTAAAAATGGCCTCTCGTTCACCTGACTTAGTTCCCCTAGATTTTTATTTTTGGGGGATGCTAAAGACCAAGTTGTACAGGCACGAATTCGAGACACCAACTTGGAGCAACTGAGACAAAAGATAATCGAACTCAGCCAAAACATCGACAAATAAATTCAACGCCATGAGAAAGGCGTTGTATAATAGATTTGGTTTCTGTTTGACACAAAGTGGTGATATGTTTGAACATTTGATTCGTTAAGAATTTCGGTATTTGGTTTATAATTTCTAATTATTTGGAATTATTTTTAATTTAAGCACTATAGTTTTCGAACTAATTTTTATTTTATTTATGTATTATTAAACAAATTTTATTTTCACACCTACTTCTTCTAAAATATATTAACAAAAAAATGGTTCTGAAGATATTTGGAAGATACTAAATATCTTACTAGTACATGGAAAATAAGTCAATACTCACAATCTTAAGTAGTTTTTATTTAATAAAATTGGCGAATTTTAAATTAATTTATACATTTTGACTCAACAGCTGAAGACAAAATATACAGTATAAATAAGAAATAATAACATCTTGATACGAAGATTATCTTGAAATTTAACAGTACGAGTGAATGTATTCCTTAATGCTGTTTTATCGGTGCACCAAAACCTAGGGACAGTGTTTTCTCTGTTACTTACCGACAAAATGTCTCGAAATTTGGACAAGTTATTCGAAATTATGTTGCCTTTGAAATTATGGTTTTACTTTTTTAATTTTTTTGAAACTTCTGTTGAAAAATTTAATTATACTGTTTAACGTTCTATTATAACCAAACTTTTTACGCCCATCACTAGAAAGAGTTTTTTTCTATAATCGTTGATTTTTTTCACCTTTCTGTGTCCAGTAATATTCGAGAAAAGCGTGTTCAAACTTTGAAGAAAGTTGCAAAAAAATACTGAAATCTAATAGTGAAACGTGTTACTCATCATTGGCGCTTAGTTTTATTGTTATCGCCTTCGTGACGTCAAATCTCATGAACGTACGGTCAGTTAGTTCGCTTGAATCAGAATCCATTTGCAGTTATTCATTCTTGTATTTTCTTCATCAACTTGCTTAGTGCTTACAGTATTCTTAGTCATTTTGAAATCATTGAAATTCTTTAGTTTACGCGTATTTTTAAGTATTATATTAGTTTAGTCATATTAGTTTAGTGATATAAGTTATAAGTGGCAAGATAAGAAATGAGTCCCAGTAAACGACTATTTTTTTATAGATAAATAAAAATGTTTTTTGTTTAATTTTTACTCAGTTTTCTCTAACAAATAAATAACTTCTTGAGATCATTTTCAAGCTATAACTGCGAAATTGTTTATTTGTTTGTGACAACAAATTGTAATTTTTTTGATAATATTTTTATGTTATTTTAAATTTATTATAAATAAACACCATGATGTTTTTTGCAGTCACGTTTCACAAATTTTTATTCAATACTATATTTAGCTAAGACATATAAATTAAAAATGTGATAATTCTTTTTAAAACATTATCTACGATAATCAATCAAAAAAGGTATTCCCGACAAAACTAATTTGAATGGAGAATAATTGAGAATAATCGACAAAACTAATTTGTTGTCAATAAAATAACCGTCGGATGGCGCCACGGAGTAAAGATGGTGTGGCGTAAGCATTGTAGAAAAGTAAGTGATACGTCCATTTCAAATCACAGTGTGCTTTAACTGCTAAAAAAGTCTTAAGGGGGAAGGTGATTCTCAGAAGTACCTTAGTTAATAGAGGTTTCCTGTATCTGACTTATAAGTAGTATTTTTTTCGTCGTATATAAAATTTAAATTAAATTTAAGTCAACCAACTAACTTTATAAACCCTATACTAACAGCTGACTGATTATTTAGAGCAGCTTCCATCAGATTGGTGATGCCCAATGGCACTAATGTCCCAATACAAAACTTGGTTTGCCAATATCACTCTCAATTATTGTTATAGCTGACTCGATTTGTTATTTAGTATCATTTATTGCTTGTTTTATATTGTTTTAGCTTTTAGTTTTAAATACATATAAAAATAATGCACTGGGGCCTGATGATGGGGCAAACATTGTAAGCCTTGAAACCGGTAGTCCAAAATTCACCAACTTTAAAAAAAGCTACTGAAGCTTGTGAGTATTGACTTATTTCCCATATACTAGTATTATGGACTCACATTGGCAACCTTTTCATCATATTCTTTAACTAAATATCTTATTTTTTACTTAAAAGACGCAATTTTTCGCCCAGTTTAATTTTAATTTACTACATCCTCCCGATAATGATCAGTTAATACTGAATTAGAATTAGAAATACATTTTTAGTAAAAGAAGTATAGGACCCGTAGCCAAGATCCCACAGCGAAATGGATGCGACGATGCCATTTAATATTTTTCTGAAGCTTTTTCTTGTGGCATCGTAACACAATTTCCTACTTTTATTAGGAATACAATTTTACTTTAAAATAAGTATATTTTTACGTTTTGATTTCCACTTCGGAAATCGTTCTCAAAATACAAAACATTAATGGATTTTATTTATTCAATTTTATAACATTTTATTTGTTCAATCTTATAAAATTTTATTTATTATTGTTTTTTTATTTTGAAAATAATTTCCGAAGGGGAAATCAGAACGTTTAAATAAACTTATTTTAAACTAAAATAATTGTGGACTATTCCCAATAAAAATTGTAAGCTGCCATTTAAATCAATTCGCCCAAATTTGATTGACTTGGCACATTTTTCAAATGCTAAAAAAGACAAGAGGTCAATACGTTTCGCAACAATGTTAACCTCTCCCTTGAATTAGTTCCACTACTAAATTTTTGAGAAAAGGTATTTCGGGGACATCACTTCCTACCGTTTAAACTGCATACCTACGTCAAATTCTTTTCGAATCTGCATATATAACTCTCAAAGAAGATTTGTTTAATAAATAAAAAAATATACTTAGATGATTTAAATTTTTACAGATCTTTGATGAATATATAATGAGCCGAGGAAAGATTGCAAAGCCAGAACTACTGTTCTTAAAATTGAAAAAAATTTCGACAATTTTCGAAACATTTTTAAAAGTTTGCTAAAAAACATCATTGGGTGTTAAGATCATAAACAGGTCTGCAAATCACACATCACTTTTGCAACAAATCGATCTGATTTTTATTCAAACTTTTAAATCTTATAATCTCCACATCACATTTCGGAAACTAGTAAAATTCTTAGGCTCTACATCGATTCGCATCATCAAAAGGAATGATTTAGTCTTTTAAACCTAAAAAAGCTACCAGAGAAACACTACTGCTTGTTGGCTATACTATGACAAATAGGTTTTCTATTTCATTGTACGATATAACCTATATATGCAAAGTGACGCAGATGCCAACGTAACTGCCCAATGTACAATAATTCGTTTAGTATTGTCTTTGCGCACTAAAACTACTGGAGATGCTGATGTTAATGCTCCCAAAATTGGTAATCTGGATAGTTTTCGCACATCTCGTTCAACCTAAAACAAATAAAAAATACGAAAATTACATTTATTCTAGAAGATATATGCAACAAGAGTTTAATTAGGAATTCTACATGGTAAACAACATCCTCACATAGTAGATTGATATTAAAAAATTCATTGTTTTAGAATAACTTAGTTTTTTGTTTAAATTCGTCTAAAATTGTAAGATTTTAAATATAATATGAAAAAAATATTTCATCTACGAGTAATAGTTTAAAAGTTATTCTAATTGTTTATTCGTGGAATATAACGTTTTTAATTGAAATTATGGTGTGTTAACATTAAATAGAGTGGCTAATATTAATTTCGAAATATTAGGTCAGGAAACTGTACTATTAATTTTGCAGCTGCAAGAATCAACAGAAATATTATGAAATCTCCTTATTAACGTTCAAAATGAAAATCGAATTTATTTGAATAGAGTCAAATTAGATCGAATCGTTTGCCCTCAACAGGTTCGTAATGAACTATACGGAACACCCTTCGTGAATTAAATTTCCCGACAAAAACTTTTAGCTCCCGCGCTAAGAAAAAAGCACGCTATTGGCAGAACATGCTTTGGCTGGCAATGTTTGTTATTTATCAATAGTTATAGCAATATGATTGGTAGAACGCATCCTCAACGAAAAACGAGTCACCAAACTTCTGAGCGGCAAATCACCACTCGTTTTGTGGAGGAGAAAGTAGCCAGTCCTTTTGTTGTGCATTGTGAAAACACTCTGTAAGTATCGCCATTTTGCATAAATCTTTCTCATTTTTGTTTTACATACTTTTATCACCTTCATTTCTCTATTCTCTATAGAAAATTTTTATCTTTCCAGTACTACTACGAGAGCACTGTGCGTGGTTTGGGTCTAGTCTAGTCTAGTCTAATGGCTAATGTTGAGATTTCACGTCAAATGTGAAGGAATGCTAGATCGTTCATACAATCAAAGACCGCAAATTAGAATATTTATGCCATATTATGAGAACCAAGCAGAGGTATGGCTTGTTATAACTCGTTCTTCAGAGCAAAGTGTATGAAAAAGTACCAGGGAGAATTTCTTGGCTCCAAAACCTAAAAAAATGGTTTAAAACGTCTAGACACGGACTATTCTGAATACCTGCCAGCGAAGTAAGGACAGTCATTTTAATCGCTAACACTAATAACGGATAAACACTGCAAGAAAAAGGGTTTGTTTTATTCGAGTGATAAAGGTCCTCAGAGGAACAAAAGTCGTACAGACCTATTAACCTAATCTCCTTTGTTTTAAAATGTATGGAAAAAATACGAAGCACGTACATAACAAGTGACTACTTGTGAAGGCTACTGTTTCACGAAGAACAATTTGCCTTAAATTGTGAGACCACCTCGTTAAAATAAGTGGCATTATGTGCATTCATAGACATAGAGGGGGCATTGTATAATACCTCAATAGAATCTACAGTGGTAGGAAAACGTATACCTCCTTCTGTTATCACATATATTGAACACATGCTAACTACTAGGAATATAATTTCCACCCTCGAAGATCAGTCAATTACTACAACAGCAGTAAGAGTTGTACCATCTATATTGTACTCGATAGTGATCTAACAAAGCTCAAAAACAGGCGATTTCGTGCTCTAGACTAGTCAGACGATCTATTTATATTTTGTTAGAATTAAGCATGCCAATATTATTCGCATGCAGGTGCCTTAAATCTAGTGAACTATCATCTGATGTTTAAAACAAGAACTTTCAGTAAATCAGAATAACTATTCGTGATTCAATCACTAATAGGAGAAAATTAACAATATAACGGTCGACCATGATCGGAACAGCATTATTATTCTCGGAGTTACCTTTGAAATAAAATTTACGTGAAATGCGCAGCTCACAAATATCACCACTAAAGCAACAAGAGCAGATAACACAGGTCTACAGAAAAAATTGATTTGGTGTCGTGAATCGTTAAGTTGATTTTTACTATATTAGGGGCGATAAATCAAAATATGGATTCCGTTTTTTGTATCAGTTTTAGTTTTATGGATACGGCACATTCCGAATTAGTAGTTTTAATATTTGAAATAATGAAGAATATGCTATTCAAATGAATATACATTGTTAATTAAACCTTTTTCTCAGTATATTTGTTGTTCTCACTGTATTATGCCTTATTTATGCAAGAAATAATACTTTAATATTGTTACATTACTATTTTATAAGGAAATAAAACAGCTTGGAAAGTATTTTTAAACTTTTAAAATGATACATTTAACACTTGTAAACCCATTCAGCCTCCACCTAATAAAATACTAGGTGCTTCAAAATCACTATTAGTACTGCTAACTGTCGATGAATAAGCCCAGTTAGTAAAATTATTTCAATAAGTATCCGCTACATGGAATATTTATTTATGTTTACTGCTAATATTGTTGCCTTTGTTGTAGTCAGTTATGTGTGTGTTCAAATATTTTATATTGATTTGACATTTAAAAATGAGTAGTACAAATCGCAGAAGTTGTGTTGATCATCCTGATGTGTTTTGTTACATTTGTGGGAAGTATACATTACAACAAATTAGGAAAACTATTACTGGCTTTGTGAAACTTGGGCACCACATATTGTATGTAAAACATGCACATAACAGGAAGAAGAAAAAGTAGTAAGATTGGTGTGCTAATGGTATGAAGAGAACCCACAAACCACGTTGATGACTGGTATTTTTGCCTAGTCAATTTTTCAGAGATCGACAAAAGTGGTCATATCCTGATTTGCCTTTAGCCAGACGCCTAGTACCCCACTCAGAGGAATTACCGATCCCAGTATTCCAAAAGTTATCTGACATTTGTGAGGATGAAAGTGACATTTTTAAACATATTTCTGACTACAATAAAGACAGTGATAGTGCTTACGATGGGGCAACAGCAAACCCACAACTATTTAGTCAAGAAGAACTAAGCGATCTCGTTAGAGATTTAGCCTTATCGAAGGAAGCGTCGGAAAATCTGGCTTCAAGATTAAATGTTCAAAATTTACTGGAACAAGACACAAAAATTACTTTTTATGGAACAAGGGAAAAGAAACTGCTTCTTCGTCTTAGAGTGCCGTCTCCCTACGGAGGTTGGCAATCATAATGGCTATTTTTATTTTAGAACTTGCTGCTCTAAACAAATCAATCGATCTGCATTGGTACCAATCACGTAGATTCTTTAACCATGAGTTCTGCCTTCGGCCAACAGATCTTCTTCCTTAAATCTTTCCCTGTATTATCAGTCTCAAAATTTCATATTTTGGTCCCTCATCACGTGGCCTAGGTATTCCAGTTTTCTGGTTTGTATAGTGGTGATTAGTTCTGTTTCTTTACCAACCCTCTCCAGTACTTCTTTATTTGTAATTCTATCAGTCCATGATATTTTCAATACTTTGCGGTATAACCAGAGTTCGAAGGCCTTGATTCTTTTTAAATTACATTTTTTTAATGTCCAAGTCTCAGCTCCATATAATAATATTGAAAATATATAACAGCGAATGGTACGTAGTCTGATCTCCAAATTTAGATTTTTGCACGTTAGGAGTGGCTTCATTCGTATAAATGCTGATCTGGCAATCTCTATTCGTCTGTTTATTTCTACAGTATGATCATTGGTTTCATTGATCAAAGTTCCCAAATACTGATATTTTTCTACTTGTTCTATCACGTTACCATTTATTGTCAATAGGTGATGTATATTTTGTGGCCTTTTTGTAATCAGAATGTACTTCGTTTTTTTAGCGTTTATAGTAATTCCCATCTCAGCACTATTTATACTCAAGCTTTCGATAAGATGTTGTAGATGCTCTATACTCGTTGCTATGATCACAGTGTCGTCTGCATATCTTAAATTATTAATTAATTTTCCGTTAACGGTGACTCCCGCTTCGATATTATTGAGCGTGTTTTGGAAAATTTCTTCAGAATATAAGTTAAACAAAAGTGGTGATAACACACATCCCTGTCTAACTCCTCTACAGATCCTCATTTCTTCTGAGTGTTGCCCATCAATTTGAACTATGGCACTTTGGTTCCAATATAATGTTTGTACTATATTTATGATTTTACTGTCAATGCGCTTGTTCATAAGTATTGATATTAGTTTTTCATGTCTTACTTTATCGAAAGCTTTTTCGTAGTCAACGAAGCACAAGTGTAGATCAACATTTACATCCCGACATCGCTGAATTAATATGTTTATGGCAAATAGTCCTTCTCGAGTACCCATTCCATTTCGGAACCCGAACTGCGTCTCGCTAATATCCTCCTCTAGCCTTTCGTATATTCTCTTATGTATTATTTTTAGCAGAACTTTTAAAGTATGACTCATGAGGCTCAGTGTTCGATAATCAGAGCACTCTTTTGCTGCTTGTTTTTTAGGGATGGTTATACATGCTGACTTTAGCCACTCGTGGTATTATTCCCGTATCGTACACCGTGTTGAATAAATCTGCCAATACTTCCAAGTTGTCCTCTTCCACTAGTTTTAAGAGTTCTACTGGTATTTCATCTAATCCAGCTGCCTTATTGTCTTTAGAGTTTTTGATAGCATATTTGATTTCATCTATCGTGATCTTCTGTATCTCTAAAGGATTTAATTCTTGTATTTTCTGCATTTCACCTCTTTCATCTTGGAAAAGTTCTCTAACGTACTCCTCCCATCGCCTTAACTTCTCTGGTAAATCTACTAGTAGTACTCCTTTTTTGTCTTTTATGTGTCCTTGCTGTCTATTTCGACCCATTCCAGTCACTTCTCTAATTTTTTTGTGCATATTTCTCATATCATATTTTGTTTCTAGTTCTTCTATCTCTTTACATTGCTTCATCAAATACTTCATCAGAAACTGCTACCGTTCTTTAACCAAGAAGAAAACCTTACTTTTTGTTTGGACGTTAAGGGGCTCTTGGAGGAAATAGGACTTTCACACTACGATGCAAATGAATGGCGTTTGTTTATTGATAGCTCCAAGCGCCGTTTGAAATTTGTTTTGCTTCATA